AGCGGAGCATGTTTCCCGCGTGTTCAGCTTGTTTACACCCCTATATATGTATATATATAGATATATATATATATATATATATATATATATAATTTTTTTGGTTTCTCATTTCAGACGTAAAATTGGAGGAGCAACTGCAACACTCACTACAAAGTGTCTCCAAGCCTACTCCGATTCGAGGAACTGTATTAGTTTATCGCAGTAAGAAATTGATCCTGTTCAACAAATTTAGGTCCTAAAACCATGGTTACCAAAAAGGAACTTTCAAATTGACCAAAAAAATGTGTGAGAAACAAACGATCCACAATGAACAATCCATTAAATTCACTAAATTTGGCAACATTAGTCCTGAACTGGAACTATCAGACAACACTCTCGCAAATTCATTTGATAAACTCGAGCTCAAATCAACGCCAACTGAAATTTCCCCAGACTGAGATCTCTAGTGAAACACAATTACTCAGTTGTCCCACTTGGGAGGCCAGAAAGGATTCTGAACTTGGATGAAAGGATTTTTGCTCACATTACAAGCATCGACATCCTCATGGCCTTCAATGAAAGGATTATCCTTTACTCTTTGTTGATTCGATGTTAACTGAACCGGAGAGAAAAGGTTGGGGTGAAAGTTCTCGTATTCAGTATTGAAAGTTACCCAGTTTTCCTTGAAGCTATCTGGTTTTGGCTTGGAAGCATTTCGAAGATTTTCCATCTCTCCAACATGGTCTTTGAACTCTTTCTTCACAACATCAAGCACAATGTCTCCATATGTACTGCACCATGACCTGATATATAACAAAAAGGTTGTTAATTCCGTTTCATTCTAATTATCAGTACTTTGTAAGTGCTTCAAAATTTTACTTTGGGAAGAATTTGTTCAGATCAGCCTTATCAACGGGGAGCTTCATCGAAATTGCCTCCATTTGGTCATCACTGTAAACACGTTGTTTTAATGAATTAAAATCACCAAAAGGGTTTCTACGAATGGAGCTTTGAGTACTGAAGAATTACGAGAAATTCAAATTTTGATTTGTCGCAGACAGTTCTGACTGGATTCGAGAGAGCTCCTTTTTGATATTCTCCCCCAAAACCTAAAAAAAAAAATGGTATATTGACTTAAAATCATGCGACAAAAAATTGAATTTTTATAGTGGTGTTTTACTTACCTTGTCTATGAAGAAATCAGAGGAAGAGCCATCGGAATGAATCTTTTTCTTGATCCTCTTCGTGTCTGGTCCTTCACCGATGGGGCTGGAGACAAGCTTGCACTGGTTAGAGAGGGAAGCATCATCAGATCTCTCCCCTGGAAATAGATATGATTTCATTGAATCATCCTCGCAGCTGCTTCTCTTCCATTTCTTCAAGCCTTCAAAACCCCATTGCTTTTTTGAGTACTTCGCACCTCTCTCCTCACAATCACGAGCCAGATTCTTACTTTCACTATCATCATCTTGCTTCTCTTTTTGAAACAAAGCATGAAACGGCTTTCTTTTGTTAGTTTCATACTTGGTAGTTGCAATTAGCGGCAAGCTTTGTTGCATAACTATTCCTACTGTCTTTTTTGTATTTGTTTCATCTTTCTTCACTTTCGCTCTCCATGGTAATTTCAAATGGGTTTTCTCTTTAGCCTTCTCAATAGTTTTTGGGGGCTCTTGATCATTGAGATCAATATCGGACCACTCTTCCTCTGAGTTCTTCAACAATGGTGGAGATCCGACAACCACATCCCGGGAGTCAATCTCAGTCCCTTGAGCTGCAAGCCTTTGCAAAAGAGGCCTCTTTGAGAAATGATACTCGTCCGAAGAAATACAATTTGCAAGCAAAAGTTCCTGCAAAAAGACCCAATCTCTGTTCTTCAGATCAATATAAGAAAAAAAAAAAACTTTCTTTTGCATAAATGATCAAACATTCTATTTCAATCAGCAATTATTGAAGAGGAAGAGTCTGAATAATCATTTCATACCCTTAAGAACAAGAGCTTGTCTCGGATAATGGTGGGGAGCTCCAGTTCGGTTGGGGAAGCGATTAGGGTTTCAAGGAGGTGGGATCTGAAGGCAGAGACTTCAGCCTCAGGAACGATGCCTTCGTTGTGTAGGCCGATGAGGTGAAGAATGCGGTGGAAAGAGTCTTGCTGCCACTTGAGGTTTTCAGCATGGCGCTTGGCCTGCTTCTGATCTGCTTGGAGGAGGCGACTCTTGAAGGAGAAAGGGAGGATGGACTTGCAGAGGGAGGTGAGTGTGTCTTGGAAAGAAGAGTAATACACAGGCTTGTAAATGTACGCCATTGCTCTCCTTCCTCGTGTCTTGGAAAGAAGAGTAATACACAGGCTTGTAAGCGTACGCCATTGCTCTCCTTCCTCTCTTTCTTCTATTGCTTTAGTTTCAGAAGTTGGGGAAGAGGAAGTGCCTCTTTGCCGTCTTTTGAAATTTTTTTGAGAGATGCGTTGAGAAACAGAGGGGGGATCTTGAACGGTTGAATCGGAGACCACACAACGGTCGAAATTAGTAGCCGTTGCGTTATGTGTTTTCCACCAGTTATGAGGCCCGCATCGTGTGTGGCAGGTGAAGCCCTCCAACTTTTCGTGAAAATGTTCTCAAGGCTTCGACTAACTAAGGGATTTTGATGTTTCAATGGGAATTGCACAAGTTACTTTGGCTGCTCTAAGATTTTACCAGAGACTTTATGATTTCCACGAGGTTTTTTTTTCCTCTATCAGGAAAATTTATCCTAACTTTATTTTACTTCAATTCTTTTATTTTGCTTCTTTTTTAGTTTAGGTAGCGTTTTTCTTTAATTCCTCTCAGTTATTTTCCTTAGTATCTTTTTAAGATCTACCGGAGATATCTTCTTTTTTGGGAAATAGATCGGCCCTTCTTTTTTAGTTTAGGTAGCGTTTTTCTTTAATTTCTCTCAGGTGTTTTTCTTAGTATCTTTTTAAGATCTATCGGAGATATCTTCTTTTTTGGGAAATAGATCGGCCTTTTCTTCGTTCTTTTAGGATTTTGTTAGATTTATTTAAAAACTGTAAACTATTCTGAGATTGACTCTGAATTTACTCTATGGTTTCTTTCTTCAATTTTCCATCGCTCTTGGAAAACTTTTTTTCTTCTTTGGTTTTACATCTATTTTAATCCTCTCTTTCTATTTTGGGGCTTTTTACCCCATTTTTAATTATGGAATGTTTTCCGTCTCTAAACTCTTTTTCTCTATCTCTTCTTGGGCCGACCCTACTCTCAACCGGAAGAAACTTATTTCTTGTGATTTTTCTAGTTGTACTAATTTTAATTTTTTTTATGTCCTAAATTTCTCACATCGTATATCTTTTTATGATTAATAAGTTCTTGATGGTTCAAAGCAATAGACTTAACGTTGGTGAGGTATGTGATTGGCAGACGTTCTTTCTATGATAATTTACAATAAGCTATTGCTAGGATTTGGAAACCAAAAGGTTTGGTTGAAATTCCTTATTCATCTAAAGGTTTTTTTTTTTTTTTTAAATTTTAGTTGTGCTGAAGATTTTGATATAGTCTTGAAGGGTAGTCCTTGGGTTAACAACCGTAAACCAATCATTTTAAAAAAAATGGTCCTATGAATTTAAACTTCGTAAAAAGGATTTTAAGAAATAACCATGTGTTAATTTTTTTTATTTACCTTTTCGTTGTTGGAATTAGAGTGATATTTAAAAATTAACTAGTTTGATAGGAGTTCCTTTGGTTGTTGATAATTTAGCATCCAAGTTCTCTAGGCTTTCTTTTGCTAGAGTTAATATCTGATTAATTTAAATTCTTCTCTTCCTGATTTCATTTCTCTGGATATTAAAGGGCAAGAATTTAATTTACAAATGATTTATGAATGGAAAAGCCTTCTCTCTGAGAAATGTTGTATTTTTACTCATGATCCTTATTCTTGTCCTAAGTTTGTGCATGTTCAATCAAATATTGTGGCCCCTATTTAAGAAAAAATATTGCGTCTGGCGTCCGGACGCAAGCTGCGTCCAGACAACGACTGCTATCTGCCAGAAGGATCTGAGAAGAAATAAAAATCTTTGGTGGATCACAACCGTTGTCGTGACTCAGCTTGAGTCCGGACTCTGGACACTATATTTTTTCCCTATTAATAGAGGGAGAAACAATAATAGAAATTATAACAATTAAATATGGTAAAGGAGCAAGAGTACAACTCCTCTTTCTACTTGGGTTCCTACAACTACCATTTGTATTTCATCTCCTAATTTGAATATTTTTGTTGATGTTTCATTTAGTAGTATGGATAATGCTGGTAATATGGATGGTCCTCCTATTGAATTTAATGCAGCTACTTCTGGTATTGCTGATTTTGAAAGTTCAATTTTACCTCTTCCTAATTCTGCTATTGAGATGAATCAGGATTTGAATTTACAAAATGTTTTACCTAATTTTAATGAGGTTCTGTTTTGCATCATGTTCTATTTAATACCATTGATAATGCTAGCGAAAGATTACTCTTTGTTAATGTTATTCCTGAGGCTGTTATGAGTAATACCAATGCTCAAAATTCTATTATTAGAAGTGCTTTTATTGTTATGATAGGAAATACAATTCCTACTTTGCTCAATACAGCTCTAAATGTTGTTTTTGTTCCATTGCCCTTTACTTCTAGGCCAAAGAAAGATAAAACTAGAGTTGATAATATTATCCATTAGTTTTATTTTTTCTCTTTCCTTTTTATTTTGGTTTTATGTTTTATCCAAATATTTTAGTTTGAAATATTCGTAGATTTAGTAAAAAAACCTATGTTACTGATTGTAAGAATATCATTTGTCAATATATTGTTAATATTATTGGCCTCATTGAAGCAAAGCTTTCTCATTCTTTTTTATCTGATAATATTTTTATTAATAAATATATGTTTTTAAAAATGTGAGAAATACTCATAACTTTGATATTAGTGATAATGATCATATTTGGATTAAATGGAATGTTGGCATTCTTTTTTTTATTGCTTTAGAAGTTAAATCTCAATATACCCATCCACTGTTATGTTTTTATTTCTTTTGTTTATGCTGACAACATTGCTTATGTTAGAAAGGATTTTTGGAATTTTTTTGCTCATATTGATTCTAATATCAATGATTTTCAGTTTTTGTTGGGTGATTTTAATTGTATTCTTAGAGCTAGTGAAAATGTAGGTTGTCTTCCTCCTATTCCTTCTATGCTAGTTGATTTTAATAATTTTCTTCTCAAATTTAATATATTTGAATTGCAAAATAGAAGATATAAATTTAATCGGCATAATAATCAAGACACATCAGACAAGTTAGCATAAATAGCCTCTTTAGGCTTCATCCCATAAAAAAAAAAAATATTTTTATTCCATATCAACTCATTAATACTATTTATACTAAACATTTTCTTATATATCATGGACAAAATAATTTAGAAAAGTTAACAGGAATGAAATTATCTATTGATGAGCAAATAAATAGAATAAAAGCTAAATTAATGACCATATCAACCACTACATGAAAATTTTTAACTGAAATTTAATTAAGAGAAAAGCCTTCAATTTGAGTATCTGTAATTGTTAAGAATTACAATCGTTCTAAATTTCAAATGAGAACTATTTGTGCATATTAAGAGGCTTTAGATCAAGTCAAGCTCAAAGAGTTAAAGATGACTAAACACAAGATGAATTTCATTTTAAAGGTTATTACAAGAGCATAAATAGAGCTTAGCCTCATGCTAACATTCTAAATAGGCGCTTTAATGTTAGACAAGAGATTGTGGGTATGTTTGGGGAAACATTATCAATGTGCTGCTCTTAGACGACCGACATTTTAATCTTTTTGCTATTAATTTTCTACTACATATTGAAATTTTTTGTGGTGGGAATTTATGTTTTATAACCATTAATTTTAAAATATGCTAGCTATAAAAAAGCTTATGTATGACTTTTTTTTTTAAATTAAATACATAAAATACCATAGTAGCCTTCCAAAAAATTATTTTTTTTCACAATAATTTTGCAACCATATTTACAAAAAAAAATAAAAAATTATAAGCACCTCAAATGAACCTAAATACATCCTTTTAGAATTTTCACTAGTATTGAGAAAACACTTATAGAGAGCAGAGTTTCTCTTAAATAATCTAAATTTATTGGAAATTTATGCAGTTCATTTTTTTTTGTTCAATTTAACTTTTTATATTTATGGAGAGCCCATTTTGACTTGTTGCATGAGAGTTTTTCAATAAAAAATAAGTCGTTTAATAGAAGTCGCTTTGGTTACGAGAGAATTAATTTTAAGGCCGTAGTTTTTGCAATTAAATTTGATCGAATAAAAAGATAAATTTTGCACCTAAAATATCTGATTGACAAATTTCACACCCCCAAAAGCACTACATTAACCAAGTTCTCTGAAAGAACCCCCAACTATCATTTAGCCTCTTGGATTTGATCTCAAACCTAGTGGCCTCTCCCGGTTTAAGAACTTGTTCAATGTGGTTGAGAAAAATGAATTCACAAAAGTATCCCTGCATCACGCTTCAAAACAATCACAATAGTAAAGAGGCGATTCACATCATTGCTGCTCCTGCTTAACACGACACTGACGAACGGCGACGAACGATTATGAAACCATCTTCCACATAACAAAACACTGTTTTTTGAAAAATTATTGCATACATTTGCTGTACGTAAAATTGCGCTATATCTAAAATATGTATGACAGTGAACCCCAATTTATACCGCTGCTGTTTTTGGTATGACTGTTCGTTCAGCTGATAACATAAAAGAGTTCCGAGTGTTTTTGATACGTAAAGCTATTTTATATTTTTTAAAATCATTCCAACTATATAAAGCAGTCCATCACGCGCCGTGCCCGCTGAAAGTTCCCATCACGACACGGTAACGTTATCCGTCCTTGCCCATAGTAATCATCGCGCCCAAAACACAAACCACACATTCCTCTTTACCCGGAAAAACGCGACATTTCGCCACAGCCATTCTATAAAAATACGCATTTCCGCTTCATTTCGCAATTCTCAGACCTTTCTCTCCCAATCTCTAATCCTATTGTTCATTTTTCCCTCATCTTCGATTTTTAATGGAGTGGCCCTCATCGTCTCTCAAGCAGAAGATCCGGTCAGCTAACTGCTTCCCGTGCTGCTTCCGCTCTTCGGAAGAAGGGGAGGAGGAGCCGGCGGTGGGTTCGTCGTTGATCCGCTCATCATCGACGTGGATCCGATCGAAGGCGGCCGAGCTTCCTGAGTTCAAGGAGCGGTACCGATGGCTTATGGCGCGGAGCGGGAAATCGTCGCAGCGCCGTGGATTCGGGGAGTTCAGGTACGATCCGTTTAGCTACGCCCTAAATTTCGACGAAGGTGGTGAGGAGGAGGCCGATGAAGCCGATGGGTCTCGGTACCGGAATTTTTCCTCTCGCCTCCCTGCGACCCCTCTGCAGCCCTCCGCTGGCGTCGCTTACAGCTAGCAGCTGCAGCAACGGATCCATCTGTGTATGTGCTCGTGTCTACCGTGCGATTTGAAGTTTAGGGATCGGTTATTGTGCTTGAGATCTGGATCTTGTTATTGTATGCTAGTAAATCCCTTCTTTCTTTCCTGAACTGAAATGTTAGGATAAGTTGGATTCACGTCGTCGCCATGAGAGCGTGGCTCCAGCAGCCATCCCGGCTCCATGAATGGGATGCTAATGATTTTCCATTATTTTTGGAGTAAATTATAATTATTGTTTTGAATGAAAGTTAAAGATATGCATAAATTATAAAATTAATGTGATTAATTTCTACTTGAGTGACGAAGTTCTTTCAAACCCATGCAATTCGGCCAGGGACAGCCACCAAACTTCTCCAGAAGCTTTTATCTGAGATGAGACTTTCCTTCAAGCTAGAGAGATTGATCACTAAACTTTCTTGTCCATGAAGCAGGGGATTCATGCCATATTCCTAGTTTATCATGAATTTTAACTAGTTTTCTGTGTATTCGAGCTCCTGATCGATCTTCCATGAAAGCTTAATAACTGATCGTCCATTTTGTGAGAGCCAGATCGTATCCATGTGGTTTATCTGTGGCAAAATCTCTTTTTTCTTTCATGATCCGGTCAAACATACTCTAACAAAGAATCTTTATTTTATAAAAGAATTTTTAAAAAAAAAAAATCTTATTTTTTTATTATTTTTGAAGTTTTCTTTTTTGGTCATGTATTAAATAAGAAATAAGAGATTTTGAAAAAATGATAATTTTCGACTTTCTTTTCCTTGGTTTGAAATGTAAATGACAGCGCACATCTTCTGGAATTTGGATATATTAGGCTGAGTAGGACATGACATGGAGGAATCTTTCTTTTGCTTTCGGTGAAATCTTAGGCTCTTTGTTTTTAATTCATTTCTATTATGAACAGCTGCAGATTGATTGGTAGTAGAGCTCTCAAAATGATTTGTTGTTTGTGAACAACTAGTATTCGGCTCGTCACCTAAGTTAATGAGTCGAACATGAATAAAAATTTGTTTGTTCGTGTTCGATTCATTTTGGCTCTAGACACTATTCATCAACCAGTAGTTTTTCTTAAAAATTAATTGACTACGAGACTACAAAGATTTATAATCAATTAAAAGTATTATTTAAAAATTAGAATACAAATTATTAAGTTAGATTTAAATTTTGTTTTAATATAAATAATAAATAAATTTTTAAATCTAATATACAAATTATTAAGTTAGATTTAAATTTTGTTTTAATATAAATAATAATTTTCAAATCTTGCTCAAACTCTTAACATCTTATGTCTATGTGAACATCTTATGTCTATGTGATTAGAGTTATCAAAATGACTCTTCGTTCATGAACAGATTGTGTTCGGTTTGCTAAGCAAACGAGCGGAACACGAATATTTTTTTTTTTTATGTTCAAAATATAAACAAGTAAAAATAGGTCGTTTACACCACGATTAGAGTTATCAAAATGACTCTTCGTTCATGAACCGATTGTGTTCGGTTTGCTAAACAAACGAGCGGAACATGAATATTTTTTTTTTATGTTCGAAATATAAACAAGTAAAAATAGGTCGTTTACACCAGTTGATAGTAGAGGAAAACGTTCAGTTTAGCTCTGTGGATGGGTAACAACTGATTAAGACTTATTGCCTCCGTCCACTTTTGAGATGTAAAATAATGAAATTTAATTATGATGCTGGCATAAAGGTGGAATATTCTTTAGTTAGTGGAAGACGTATTGTAGATGTCACGAGATTTTTCCGGTTCGAGTGACGTGTGAAGTCGAAAAGAAATGAATTGAATGAATGGTCGGGTGCGAAGATAAGGTTATGAAAATGACGGGTTTGCCGGATTCATCCAATTTAATTAATTAGAGCGTGCAATTTGACCAATTGATGTTGTCTTGAATGGATGGCGGCTCTACTTGTTGTAGCCTGTAAAGTTGTAGAGATGTGGCTTGGGGCTGTCAAATGGGTTCATGGGCTTAACCCAAAATCAATTGATCTGAAATTTCGATGAGCCCATGGTTTGGTAAACAGGTTAAGATCCTATATCTAAAACCGACCCAAAATCAGATTTTTTAGTCGGATTTTGGTTTTCTTGTTTTATTCAAGTTGGATTGACATCATAGCGGTTTCTTTTTGCACCTAAGTGGACTAATAATTTTAGATGGAAGACTTCTAATCTATGATACTTACAATTTTAATTAAAAAGATGTATAATGTGTAAGGGACACGGACACGGCCCCAACACGTATTGGACACGGCATAAAAGTATCTAATTTAAATAATTTTAAAAAATAGGGAACTTGTGCATAATACTAGTAGGACATGTGTGTCAAACACATGTGCTCTAAAATTAATGAATTTAATTTTTTAAAAAAAAATTTAAGACTAATATATATATATATATATATATATATATTACCACTCAATTTTTATGTATTTGCATATTTAGCACCTTAATTTCAAATTTCACATGTATGATGCTTTATACATACATACAGTGATATGAAAATGTCCATTTCATTTTTTAAAATTAAAAGTAGTGGTTAGATGTGATTTGAAAGATTTGGGTGGCATAAATATAAAAGTCAAAATTTAGGTGCTAGATACTTAAACTAAATAATTATCTATGCATATCTTAAGGGCCCGTTGGGTTTATTTTTTTCTTATTTTAATATAAATTGATTTAAATTAAAATTTATTTGATTGAGAAAGTTCTTTTTAAAAATTCCCAAAATATCTTTTATACATTTTGATTTTTTTTTAAATACAACTTAATTTTCTTTAAATAAAAAATAAAAAATGTAAAAATTATATCAACTAAGACATTAAACAAAAGCGATGCCAAACATGCTCTTAATTTTAAAAATTTAGAATATAT